ATTTTTGTGATTGTATAAACTGGCTGGCATCAGCCTTATCAGTGCCATTTTGATTTAAGGTATGTTTTCTGTGTGATTTTTATAGCTGATAACACCTCACGCCATCAGAGTTCAAACACCACCACGGCACATTCCAGGAGTTGTTGAAGTAACTCTGTCCTACAAATCCAAACAGTTCTGCAAAGGTGCTCCCGGCCGATTCGTCTACACTGGTGAGTGTATGGTTTCCTTCCTCCTCTTGGAATGACAAATCCTGTCTCTTAATGATACAAGGGCAGTTAAAAATGCTGTTAAAATTGGATGTGTCTTGCAGGAAATGTGACTTGTGGTAACTGGACCTCAAAATACCTGTTCATATGGGCACCCAGGAGCTCTGGTGCCCATCCATCCTCTTGGGTCTTAACAATGTCTTGATGTCCCATGGGATCAAGCTCTCTCACAAGATGCCTGTTACTTCCTGTTTTCATATTGGCCAGAAATAGATTAACAATGGTATTTCCTACTCTGCTCCAGCCAGAGAAGGGAGTTAAGAAGTACTCAGTGATGAAAAATATTTTTCAGGCTATCTATCCAGACTTCTTGAACTTCCCTAAAGGTTCAGTCGAAATTTTAGGCACCAGTTCAAGAAGTTGTTGCTGGATCCAAATGACTTTATCCAACCCTATTCACAACCTGGCTATAAAGATTCTCTCAAACCTGAAACTTGGGATACAAACTCATAAGACTGGGAATGATTTATTTGTGCCAATTCTTTTAAATACATTTGATTTTAATTTACAACAGTGCAAGAAAAAGTCGGAACTTTGTGGTTTCCAGTGGTTTTAATATGAAAATTCTTATTTTGGGATGAAGTATTGCTGGCTTTTTATCTGAAATGTGTATTAGAGTTTTTCTGGCATTTGCCAATGAATTGAACTGAGGTGCTGGGAGGGAAAAGGGAGAAAGAGTGATTTAATTTACTGTATTTTTGGATGAGAATTCTAGGTAATAAATTTGATCTGATGAATCAATCTCTCTTTTGAAAACAAAGAGCCTTTAACTGTTTACTCGACAGACTGCAGGGATTTGGGGAGAGTCCTCGCTGCTTATTGGGTAGATAATGCAGATTGCAGATGATGTGCAGATGATGTGCATTTTGATGAATATTTTCCCACTAGACTGCAACTGTTTCTATCTATTAATTTAGATCTAATGGGAAAAGTGTGTTCCTGGGTAGTTTTAAGCTAGGACTTATAAAATGGTTAACACATCGTGGATATGGTGTTGTGTCTGCCTAAGATCTATTGTCGAAATGAACTTTTAAGTGATGGCAACACCTGAGATTCCTATATTCTGTCTATTCCCAAAGAAATCACAACCTGAGCGAAACCCCTGGCATCCAAACCTGGGTGCCTCACTTCTGGCTGACAAGGGAGAGAATATTGACATTTATTGATCTTTAGGACTGGGTTTTATCAGAGTTTCCAAATGGGATGATGGTGACTGTGATGCTTTTGGTGCTCATGATGTATCTCAAAAGTCGTGGTTGTTCCACAGACTGTTGCAAAGGTGATGAGTGCAGGTGGGGTCATCAGTGTTGCAGGCTTAAAAATGCTCTTATGAACTATAATTTATATATGTGTGTGTATGTGTGTGTGTGTGTGTGTGTGTGTGTGTGTGTGTGTGTGTATTTCATGCAAAACTACAGCGGAGTGTCCTGATGAGTATGATGAGCTAAGTGTCCAACAAAATAAAAAAAATGAATGAATTAAAAGCCTCAGCCCAAGCTCCAGATATTTGAGCTGCTGGGAGCTGGTGTAGTTCCACCCCGTGCAGGGAAGTGCTGCAGATTTGAACCAGATGACACTCTGGCTCTCAGGGCAGAGGCCTGGAATTTTGACTTGCTTTAGAGTAATGTCTTTAACTGATTTCTTGGGTGCAGATTTTGCAAATTTGGCTAATTTTGCTGTTTCAAACTTCTTTCTGATGTGTAAATGCACATGTGTATAGAACTGTAAGGACATTTGTTTCTTCTTTCCTGGAGTTGTCTTTTGTCTTTATCGCTAAGTAAAGATGTTCAAAAGGATTGTGAGAATGTCATGAGCTTCCCCCTCTGGAATAAAACTATAATAAAGTTACATTAATTTAATGGGAATATACATTTAAAACACCTTTTGGGGGAAACACAAACCAATATCCCAGCAAAAAGAAAATAAAGAGATAAAGCCAGCGCCTGCCTGCCCGAGAAACTTCTGCTTTGCTTTATCCTGGAGTGATAGGGTGGCTGAGATAGTCTTTGGAAATTACAGCTGCCATTGAGAGGGAAGTCAAGCCTTGCTGTATTTCAGAAAATGAAAATGCTGTAGCATTGGTGGAGGGAGGGGCCGGGTCCCCAGGGCATCTGTTTCCCATCAGTGTCCCACCATGCTTGCAGCCTGGCTTGGCACTCTAACATTTAACCTTCCCAGCAGGAGGTGGACCATAGGGCAACAAGGCTGCAGAATAATGAAACAAGAGTGTAGTGTGGTGTACAAAGCCTTTGTGAGAGCAGAAGTTGAGACATGAAACACTCAGGGTGGGGAGATGCGAAAGTTCCAGATTTTTCTCCAAAACCCCCAATAGCCTGACGCAGAGGCAGGAGCGCGGCGTCTCCCAGCAGGCAAAGGCAAGGCCTTTCCCCATCTATCCATGCCTTTTTGCCCGCTGCTTTCAACTATTATAAAGATACAATTACCTTGGGAGATTGTGGCAGTTCAGTTGATTAGCACGGTGAATTAAAAGAATGAGTCACAAATGACATGTCCAGCTCTTCTCTACTAGTCCTTTGTATTCCCAGTGTACCTCACCCCTGTTGTAAGAAGGTCAAAAATTAGAGAGAGATAACAATTTTCAAGCAGCTAGCACTTAGGAGCAGAATTAACAATCATTCTGTATGTAATTGCCAGTTAATAGTAAATTGCCTTCTAGACTGTAAAATGCAATATAAACTGGTGGGCACCTAAAATTAAATTAATGAGGTATTTGCTGCATTTAAAAGTGAATAGTGCAAATTAATAACTGGGTACAATACTTGTTTTAATATATATCGAGTGGTGCAGCATTTGCTTGTTTAATAATAATTTTAAAAGTACTACCTGAAAAATTTGCTGTCTGTGGGTAAATTGAGCGGTCGGCGCAGGTTGTAGCCATAATTTTGCTGGTAAAGTCTTCCAGGTTTCTAAATTAAATATCAGAGATTATTTTTTAATTAGAATATAAGCACTGCAGCCTTATTTGATTATGGCAAATTGTGATTTGTATGCTTTGAAATGAAATTATGTTACAGATAAAATTGCACCTTTACACACATATTTTAAGCTGTGCAGATCCTGTTGGTTTGCTCTCAGCTGAGCAGCAGGACTGTGTTTACAGTGTGTTTGTGCCACTGTTTTCTCTAAGTCTATATTTTGCATAATGATTCCCTGGCAAATAAAGGATGCACAGCCTGACCTACAGTATATTAAAATAGTTTTAAATAATGATTTGTGGCACTTGGAACTTCTCATGGTGGCTGCTTCCACCCTGAGGTTTTTGTTGCACGTCCCTGTTTCGGCGACTCCTTTGGCTCAGTGGAGGAAGTGCCCCAAATTGTCAGGAGACAAGAGACCCTTTGCAGTGGACTGGACCTGGTTGCTGCACGAGGCATTGGCACTCGACTGCCAACATGTCCCCAGTAGAGGCGGGGAACGCGTGAATGTTGAATACATGGACCCATTCCCAGGCCTGCAATGCATTTGCTGGACGTGAACATAAGAATGATTCTTTTGCACAAAGACTTGCATTCAATTTTAAGCTTATGAAACCATTACTCAAGCAGCAATCGCTCAGGGTTTGTGTTCCTCCTGATGGAGTATTTATGGCGCGGAGGACGGCCGGGCTGGCACGGCACCAAGGGGGGGAAGCCCTCTTTACTCACTACATTGTCCAGATTTCTCGGTTTGGCTCGTTTTCCCCTCGGTGTGGAGACCTCAGTGTTGGCTGCTTTCCTCGGCTCACCCCCACCCCACTTCCCCGTCTGAAAGATCTCATGTTCCTCAAGTATTTTGGAGATCTTTTGTGTGCATTCAAATGCGATTCTGTCAATGGCGCTGTTACACTGTTTAGAGTCAATAGCTCCCTTCCATCACAGCCAACACAAACTAGCTGTCTCATAGGTCAGTGCTCTTTAAACAAATTACTTGTATCCACAGAGCAAATGATTGTTAATTGCCTCCCACAAATCATACTATTTTTACTATGCTAAACTCCACACGAATGCCTTAGTTAAATTTAAATCACCTGATTATTTCTTGTTCATATTCAATTATTGTTCTGAAGGACGAAATCTGGTGACTCTGCGAAACGAAGGCTAAAAATATATAGAATGGATCCATGACTTTATTGGAAAGCCTTAAAAAAAAAAAGCACAGTTACATTCATTTTAATGAAATCCTCAGCATTTCTAATTCATATATATTGCATTTCTTTTTTTTTCTTTTAAGTGCTGTTGTCCTGAAGCAACTTACAGTCACTGTTATTACAGTATTGGTTATTTATTGATCAGACCTTGTGTCAGTATCAGTTGTTAGCAAGCTGAAAAAAATCAAGCTAGAACAAATATTCTTGCCCTTTCTTCAAGCTAGGTCTGCCTAAGTCAGTCAAAGTTTAGTGTTCAAGAGTCAGACCCAGAAAGTCTCTGTTAATGTGTTAAACGGCTTTCTTGGCCTGGAGTAAAACATATTTTTCTGAAAACAATAAGTCAAAGGGGAAGGGATTCTGGTGAACTGTCTTTTCGTATAAAGGTTTTTCAGCATGACATACATTTCTAATTAATAGGGCAATGCTAAACATACAGAAATGATTTAGTAGCATCAAGTCAATAGTGTGTTGGATAATGTATATTATATAATAGCTCTTTTTTAAACAGTAGCAATTCCAGGTTTATCAGGGTCATTGTTGTCCCCTTTCTTTTCTGTCTCAAAGGAGGCCAGAAGAATGAGACATACCATTTGTGCTATTGCACAAGTAGACTATTTGTCCTAATCAGTGACACCCATTTACTAGAATTGCTTAAAATGAACTATACCTCATACAGAAATCGCACATTTAGAGTGTTCCATTCATCATCGGAAAATTGAGGGCCAGTAAACTTTTCTGTTCCTCCAGCGGGATCATAGACATGCATCAAAATGTTAAAAAATGATTGGTGAGAGAG